GAGCTTGAGAGTTATTACCCTTTTGTGGTGTACTTTCTTGATTTTTCATATTTCTGGTATCTTTTCTTTGATGTTTATTCACTGTGCCTTGGGTTTCATAGTCCACAGGATTGACACTATTGTCTGACTAAGATGTTGCTTGGGTTGCCAATTTGGTATGGCTACCTCACTGACTGTTCAGTTGGCCACTAGAGCCTTGTCTATGTGGTTGCCTTGGGTCTTGGGCCTCTCCAGGGAGCCACCTCTCTGGTCAGCTTGGACTCAGCAAGGTTGCTGGGTCATGGGGTGGTACCGCAGTGTGTGGTCTCTGCTGAGCTTCCACCTCCCCTTCTTTCACCTGGCTTCTGTCCTGGGATTTCTCCACAGTCTCCATTCAATGATGTTGACACAGAAGGTGTTCAGTTTCCCTGGCTTTGGGTTCCAGGACTTGCCTCCGGCTTTCCAGTCACTCTCTGAGGTCTCAGGCCACCTCCTCTGGGTTCTTCCCTTCTTTCACCTGGCTTCTGTCCTGGAACTTCTCTTTTACATTCACAGTCTCCATTCAATGATGTTGACACAGAAGGTGTTCGGTTTCCCTGGCTTTGGGTTCCAGGACATGCAGTTTCTGAGGCTGGGAAGTCCAAAGTCCATCTGGTGGTGGTGACAGTGACCCAGGTGTCTCACATTGCAGGATGGTGGAAGAAGAGAGAGCAGAGAGAGAAAGACAGACTCTTCTCTCTTTTTAATCCCTCACAACTGTAGTAGATTCTTAATGCAATGACATTCACAAAGTCTCCTTGGCCAGATGTTCCAAAGTCTCCTTGGAACATCATGGGGGGGCATTATTCAACTTTCCATAACTATCATGAAATATGTTTAATGACATTCACAAAGTCTCCTTGGCCAGATGTTCCAAAGTCTCCTTGGAACATCATGGGGGAGCATTATTCAACTTTCCATAACTATCATGAAATATGTTTAAAACAATAACATATGTATAGTCAGCTAAAGAAATATTAAAATATATTAACTGCACTCTATGTGCCATCATAGTTCCAAGACACAGTACAAGTAGATTCATAAAGACATTATACATAAATTGTGTCCATCCAGCCACTGACACCTGGGTACTAAAAATTATTAAATACCTTTTTTTTATAGCTTTGGCTAGGAAATAGACTGTGGTCTCCATGAGCGTCTGGTACATAGTGAGCTATCAAGATTGAACAAATTGTTAAAATATTGTACATATGTCATTAATTTCCATTTGACTTGACAGAAATCAGAGAGATGCAGGAGGATGATATGCAGCCTCATCATATTCCACAGAAAAACAGAAAACCAGTTGTAGCTCAACTTATTTTTTGCTTCTTCTCCTTGGAGCACAAGAATACCCATAAGTGGAGATGTCTAAACTGGAGCTAGGTTTGGAGAGTAGGGAAGAGAGGTGAAAGCATGGCTGTGATGTCTGGCTGAGATCTCCTGTCTGCAACCTGATAGATGGGAGATTTAAGTTGATATGGCCCATGCCCAGACCAGAGCAAAAGTAGACGTTCTTGTATTTCTCCTCTGGGAGATGCTCATTACATCTGCATAAAATAAAGTCTTGAGATTCAAGGGAAATCTTGAAAAGGACAAGTGTCCAAAATTGCAAAGGTATCAGAGCAGGGATGCATTTGAGAAGACAGAAACCTAGCAGGATGACAGTTCTCATCAGAGAAACAGGGATGACTCACTCTGAACCTGAGAATTAGAACACTGTAGGTCACAACCTTCGGCAGGTCTCTGACAAACAGAAAGGTAGAGACTGAAGTATCTACTGATACCAGTGGATTCTACATTTGCTTTCAAAAGGTGGGCAAAGCTCCCTAGCTCATGTCCCCTCATAAGGCTGAAGATTTGAAAAGGGACCTCAAACTCTGGCCTCTTACAACCTCCTACCCTCATAAACACACATGAATTTTTACCCCATCATGCCCAATTAGCCTAAAACTATACGACCTCAGGTTTATCTCTGTAAACTCTCATCCCTTCATTCTCCTTTCCTTACTCCCAGTTCTTTATACTCCTGGATATACTTGTAAACTCATGTCTTCCCACATTAATCCCTCATGCCCTCATTTCTCAGCACACATATTGTATTCCTCAAATTTTCTTTCTCATAACCTCATATTTACAATATTTCTATCTCTAACACACTAAGAATTCACTCTGGTAGAACTCTAGATTTCACATTAACAAATCATGAAGCTATCACAATCATATACCCCCTTCTCAAACTCCTCTCTGTTCCCAATTCCTTCACATAATTGCACAATCTAAGAGCTCACATGATCTCCCTTTTTTCCATATCATATACCCCCTTCTCAAACTCCTCTCTGTTCCCAATTCCTTCACATAATTGCACAATCTAGGAGCTCACATGATCTGGGTGTGACAGCCATTTATGACACTTCCGTTGTCTGTTCAGATCTCACAAAATTACTCAGATCCACACAGTCCCTCATATAAACCAAAAGGCTATTATATAACTGCTTTTAAGTACCACATGACATGCAGATCACATAACACATGGAAGATGAAATACTTGTAAATACACAAAAGTGTGCTGTGAGTCACCCAAACATACTACAGTCATGCTATCTCCATGTACAATGACAATTTGACCCCTATACTGACTACATGAAATTTTCAAAAAAATGTAACAGATATACACAGACATGTATATACACCAGCCTCTACTCGTCAAACATGACACACTAATTTTATGTAAAGCATATACCACATGTACTAAACATCACCATCTCCACACCATAATAATACACCAGACACTCTAAAGCAGCCTAAGAGGAAATTGTATGTATTTTGAGGAGAAAAAGTTTGGTTATAGACTTAATCAAGGTTTAAAAACAGAGCATGGAACTTAGTGTGTTTATGAGTTAGAATTTGCCTAATTTTTACTAAATCTTGTGAATTCAAAAGTACAGGCCTATCCCTTGGTAATATAAAGAGGAAGTAAAAAATAAAACTGAATGGGCATTTTCATGATATGTTTAAATCCATTGTACAGGTAGAGTTGATTCAAAAATACACTAATTAGGAAAAAAACAACTATTCAAACTACTCTGAATATACTCATAATTGGGAAGGTTCCAAGATAGGCTTTGAATGAAGTGAGTAGAGATTTTAAAAAAACCTTAGTTGGGGGCCCTGTGTGGGCAGAGAGCACTAAGAAAGGTAACACCACTGGCCAAGCCAAGTGGTAGCTGTGCCAGTTAAGAAGTAAGCACCTGAGAAAAGAGCTGTGACCAGCATTGGGAGATACATTCTGGAGCTGCCCCCAAGATCCCAATGGAGTCTTCTGCTCAAGCTCAGAAGTAATGAGTTATCACAAGGCATGGGTCCTGCAGAGCTCTAGCAACAGAGGCCAAAATGGCAGATATCTGGAAGAAGATACTGCAGGCAAGAAATGAAAGTCAGTGTTTTTTTTTTCTTTCCCTGCAAATTCTATTTGAGGAAGCAGTAGGCCTTTCATAAGATAATCAATGTCTCAGGTGACAAACTGAAGCATTTTACCTACAACATACAACAAAATTATTCTTCATGTAAACAGAAGTAGTAATAACATATAATATGTGCACCTTCCCATGTGCTGGGCAAGATTGTGAGCCTCTGATGCACTGCACAGAACCACATGCACCACTCATGGGTGATCCAGCCCATCCAGACACAACATGGCAAGAAATATTTTTGTATACCTAGATTTTGGAACTTTGAACAGTAACTAGATTATAACCTTTGAGGATATGTACCATGTGTGTTATTGTACATGGTATTTTTTTTCCCCACTTACATGATACTTCTTGAATGTTTGTTAAATGCAAAAAAGTACCACATATCTGATTTCCCTCTCTTTCCCAGGAATCATAGACTCAGATGAATACACTCCGCAGCCTGGACTCTCTGGGTCGATCCAGGCCCACAGCCAGACAGCAGAGGACTCAGACTCAGAATACTTATCCTGTGCCTCTTTTGAAGACAAGCTCGATCACAATGGTATGGGGGTAGAGAGAAGGAATCATGTGGAAAGGGGACAGAATGATGACCTAGAATTGGAGCAAAGCTCCTTTGCTCAGCAACCCCTTCTCTCAAGGACTGCCCAGGGTCTCTGTTTCCAATCAATGGGCAGAAATGTACCATGTACTCTTTCTCCTTTGGAAAAGGCTCCTAAATGATATGGACAGGAAGATTAGAAACCCAAGTGAAATGGGAAGCATATTTCCAGAAGAGGAGTCTGGGGCAAGTCTGTGAAGTCTTCATTTGAATACCTCTAGCACCATGCCCAGTTCCTAGGGAACCCTCAAAAAATTTTTATCTTTACATCTATATATCTATCTACCTAGCTACCATCTAACTATATTTGTATCTGCACTTCTCTCTATATATACCTTTCTATCAGTATAGATATCAGTATAAACAAAATATTTTTGTATACCTAGATTTTAGAACTTTGAACAGTAACTAGATTATAATCTTTGTGAGGATAAGTACCATGTGTGTTATTGTAAATGGTACTTCTTGAATGTTTGTTGAATGCAAAAAAGTACCACATATCTGATTTTCCCTCTCATTCCCAGGAATCATAGAATCAGATGAAAACACTCCACAGCCTGGACCCTCTGGGTTGACCCAGGCCCACAGCCAGACAGCAGAGGACTCAGACTCAAAATACTTATCCTCTGCCTCTTTTGAAGACAAGCTTGATCACAATGGTATAGGGGTAGAGAAGATGAGAAGTTAAGAAGGAATCATATAGAAAGGGGAGAGAATAATGACTTAGAATTGGAGCTAAGCTCCTTTGCTCAGCAACCCCTTCTCTCAAGGACTGCCTAGGGTCTCTGTTTCCAATCAAGGGGCAGAAATGTATCATGTACTCTTTCTCCTTTGGAAAAGGCTCCTAAATGATATGGACAGGAAGATTAGAAACCCAAGTGAAATCAGAAGCATATTTCCAAAGAGGAGTCTGGAGCAAGTCTGTGAAGCCTTCATTTGAATACCTCTAGCATCAGGCCCATTTTCTAGGGAGCCCTCAAAAAAATTTTATCTTTGCATCTGTATATCTAACTATCTAGCTACCATCTAACTATTTATATCTACACCTCTCTCTATATATATACCTTTCTATCAGTGTAGATATCAGTATAAACAAATAGATATACATACATAATTCATCATAAATTTGCACTTCATATCCCTTATTTGCATAATTTCTCATGAAGAAAATTGAGCTAATAATAATAATAGCTAACCTTTAGTTATTGCATATTGTATTTTAGGCAAGGTTCGTGGTTTCCAGTATTCTGTATACATCTCCAAAAATATCACATACAAGATTATCCAATCACACTGACATCCATCACACACACATTTTTAATAACTGTTATTGTTCACTTATATTTTGGAGTTTTGAATGGGAAAGTCACCTAAATTTCTGTGAAAGCAAGTCCCATGGGCAGTAATTATGCCCTACACAATATATCCACTCAACATATCTTTTTGTGAATGTACAAAGACCCCAGATTATGCCATATCTCAATGATGTATTCTGATTTTTTAACTTTATTCCCCAGAAGAGAATGCTCCTGAGATAAGTGTGGTGGTCCCAGCTCAGGATCAGGAACCAGGAGAAAATTCCTCTGCAAGCAAGCTCAGGCTATTTCCCATCTGATGACTTTCATCCCCATGGGTCTTAAAGGGGCAAAAATTTTTCCCTCAGGCAGCTTTCTTTTTCCAAAGGCAGGAAAGATGAAAAAATGGTGCAGGGACACAGTCAGCAGCACCCCTAAACAAGACATACTTTCTTTATTAAAGTATAAGCCATGCTTTGAAAACTCACTACAGCTTTGTCTATGTTTAATTCCTCTCTGCTGTCACTTAGAAGAAGACATTCGATGCTATAACCAAAAGAAATAATAAGATGTGAGAACTGTGAAATTTCTTAAAAGAACACAAGAATCCTGCAGGAAGCAAGTCATGTCAAAAGTTGCCAACAATGGTCCATGACAGAAGAATAGCCCCTATTTCTCTCCTTCCCCAGTAATACTTGACACTTTTCAGGAAACAGCCTTCACTCCTGGTTGTTAGTATACCATGGAAATTTTTTCCCAAGGGGGGAAAAATTCCGCTCCTTGTGGACTCATTTGAAGCTCCTCAGCAAACTTCTCCTAAGCTTAAAAATTATGAAATGGACAGCCATATCTCAGTCACCTCGAGGGAAAGGGCAGAACCATGATTGGCCTGCACTTCAACCCTTTCTTGGACAGAGGCTTGTCTCTGCCTTGTCCTGTGCCTCTTGGAAGGGAGCCAGGCCAGGTCTTTGCTCCTCATGCCAGCTGGATGTGTGGAATCTGGTGAAAATGTAATGAATACAACTTATGTTTTGTGGAGTATACTAACATTTATAAAACAAATCTATTTCACAGGTCCTAGTTTCCAAAGCCCTGTAGTTTCAGGTATAACCTAACCTTTTAAAATTACATAAAGAAGTGTTAACCTTGCAAAAGACAGGAAACTTTCCTCAGGCTAAAGTCTCTGATATAGATATAGAATTGTAATACAGCAAAATTGCTGGCTCTCAAGGACAGACATCCTTGAGTTTGGGTTAACCTACTGATTGATATGTTAAGAAAGTTGCTTTATTGTTATGTAAAAATACTGAGGAAACTGCTGGAGGAAAAGACAGTATTTGCTAAGAACAAGTTTTTGTTAGTGGATTGACTTAACCTTTTGCAAATTTCATTGTGGAATGTCACTTTGTTATCTCACCGATGTTACCAGCTTCTATTGTTAAACTATTCTTAACCATAACTCCACCTATGTTCTTTTTCTGTAACTTTCTGGCCTGGAGAATAAATACTGAGACAGAACCCCAGCTCAGTGTTAATTTCCCAAAGAAGGAATGCCTCTTTCTTGAGGGTTCTGAGAAGTTAACCCCTTTGGGGTGTCTCACTGCTCAGAGGAAATGGGTGTTGAGTAATCCTTTGCATCTCCGTCACCCAGGGGAGAAAGGTGGCAAATCCATGTGAGGACAAAGAGAGTGCAACAATATTTTATCCAGAAAAAATCTTAAAAAGCCCATTGCTCATCTTCCATGTCCTGGAAAAGTGACACTTGCTGTTCACTGCTGTCCAGTCTACTTTGAATTGAGGCCAGTGGTGGAAACAGCCATGCCTGGAGCTGGTGAGGCTGCCCTACCACCTGATATTTGCAGTGGCTTCAGAGGACTCTTTGCTTCTATATGACACGCAGCAGCCTTATTCACGCAGCAGTAATATTTCATGCTCCAATGACGGGGCCTTCCTGGCTATTTCATCCAAGGATGGCTATTGTTCATTTGTGAACATTTGAGAAGATGAACTTGGAATTCCTTTGAAAGAGAAGCCAGTTTTGAGCATGAGAACCCCTGAGACAGCAAAGAGAACCAAGACTCAGATGCACCAAGGGTCTTCGCTGGGATCCAGACAAGTAGAGGGAACCCCCACCAGCAGAATCCAAGACCCCAGCAGTCCCTGCACAACCCTTCCTCAGGCCAGACAATTTCCAGCTCTAGCAACAATCAAGGACACTCCCTCAATTACTTGGTGTCAAAAACTTCTTGACCCCAAGGAGGAGAAGACCCTGCAGCCTACTAGTCAAAACACGAAAGCCCACCCATTCTGCTGGGTTACTCTGAACACATTGCAAGCCTGGAGCAAGACAACACCCCAGAGAATAAATGTAATACCCTTAAAGACAGATACTTCACAAAATTCTGTACCACTCAGCATAATTGCCATCCCCTCAACTGAAGAAATTCAGTCAGAGATGTCTGGAGACCCTCAGGGTAGTCCTCCAGAGCAGAAACAGCCCAGTTTTGGTGAAAACAATGGAAGCACCCAAAGTCTAGACCCTTGATGGGACTTTGATGTCTTCTTGAAGGCCTGCCAGGTCTGGGAGCCTACCATGAGCAGGTGGGGAGCTGAGGCCAAAGACAGACGCCCAAGCCCAGTGGCATCTTACACAGCAGAATAGACATTGTAAATTGATTTCTGTAACAGAAGATACACATGTACTGACTTTTCTCCAGAAATATGTATACTCTTGTATTCAGTATCCATCTTAACTTGGGGATATGAACATTTTAATAGACTAAATCTTCTTTTTGATGAGTTTCTGAAACTGAAGCAGTTCAACATTATTGTTTTAGTCCATTTTGTGTTGCTATAATAGAAATACCGGAGACTGGGTAATTTATAAAGGAAAGAGGTTTATTTGGCTTACGATTCTGGGACAGCTGCATCTGGCATGGGCCTCAGGCTGCTTCTACTCATGGAAGAAAGTGGCAGGCAGCTGGCAGGTACAAGCAGATCACATGGCGAGAGAGGAAGCAAAAGAGAGAGAGAAGGTGCCAGGGTCTTTTTAAGCAAGGAGCTCTCGTGGGAACTAATAGAGCGAGAACTCACTCATTAATTCCCCCTCCCCCAGGGAGAGCATTAATCTATTCATGAGGGATCCGCCCCTATGACTCAATCAGTTTCCAATACTGCCACATTGGAGATCAAATTTCCACATGAGTTTTGGAGGGGACAACACATCCAAGCTCCATCAATTATCTACTGTGAAAATCAGTAAGCCCTCCCTCAAACTACTCATGAAAGTACAGACGCTTTATGGGTGGACTCGTTTGAAAGTTAGGATTAGTAACCCCATTTAGGGGTACTTTATCTAAATTGGAGGTTGGAATTTGAAGAAAAAAATATATTGTGGGTATTATTTGAAAATTTCACAAATGTACTGTTTAAAAATCAGTTTGTCCTTGATGTATAAAGAACTTAAATGAATATATATGCACCCTCAGGCACATTGATAGTGTCCTTTCACAACCAAGCAAAACAAGCTCGTTAGATATCTTACTGTGTCTTCAAATCAACTGAAAATGTAAACACCTAGTAAGATTTAAATGCTATTAGCAGGTCATATTGTCTCAATAAGAAGCCCATGAAAAGTAGTTTAATTTCCTTTTATGTGACTAAGTTATTCTCAACAGTAGAGTAGAAATAGGCATCTACTTTTTTTTGCAGAAAAAATAATATGAATGTAATAAAATCTAGTCAGAAATGCAGATCTCACCTTTAAGGCACAGAGGTGATGCCTTTCACCAGCAGCCACTAGAATAATGGCACTTGAGCGTATACCATCGATCACATAGTCAATACCAGAAAGGAATTTCTCTCTTTATTTGTTAAGCCCTTTCGGAAATTTCTAAAGAATAATGTAACACAAAGTACAAGAATATACAATTTTCTATCAATGTATATAATCTATATAACCCCACTTTACTAAAATATACTTGAGCATTTTTCTCATATAATGAATTTTATGATTGTTAAATAGATTTGGTTATTTCTGAATGAATCCACTATTTTCTGATATCCTTGTTGTTTCAAAGTCACAAAAAAGATGAATATTTTGATGAACTGAAAGTTTTAACTTTCTCCACACTTAAGGAAACAAAGTATTTTAGATAAACACCTCAGTTGTTCTGGGATGAAAGTTACCATGGTAATTTAGGTAATAGTTACAAGTGACAGAAATTACCTTAGCAATCAAGAATTGATTACTTATTTTGGGAAATAGATAGGAAAAGGCAAACAATAGACTCTCACCTATTTTCTTCCTTTATCCTTTTAGCATTTTGATTATTACACTATATTTAAAGGCAGGACTCTGTTTCCTCTTGATAGTAGCTTTACAAGTTGCTGTAATATTTCTCAAAGTGAGTGCAATGGAAGTAAAATTTTGAAATTAGTAAACAAAATAGTGAAAAACTGAGCAGCTGCCAGCAAAGTAAACATGCTCTAATTTTAGATGTGAGCTCTCTGCTGCCAGCTTCTGCTTCAGGGAGTGAAGAACACACAATAGCAACATACTAAAAAGATCTGTGGGTGCACATGTGCACTAACTCCACCCACACACAACTTGTTTACAAGGACTATGCTACATGACCCCCAACCAGACCTGAGGTGACTGGAGCCTGACCAAACTATTCCATTGTCCCCACAGCCCCATTAAAAATATGACTATCTGCTATATCAGGTTTCCCCACATTGTGACTCAGGAATTCTCTCTTCAGAATTATTCAGTTTGTATTGTTCTGCCAGGCCCTGTTGTGAGACTTTAATATGTTGAAAGATGGCAGTTGCTAGCATTTATTTTCAATGTTAACCTATAGCAACACGTTTAGGAGCTATAACATGTTAGACATTGTCATGTTGTTATAATAGATGTGATATTGGAAGCAAATGTAACTTTTAAAAATGATCTTTAAACTTTGTTTCCACATTTAACAATAGTCAATTATTCATGATTATGACAAGCTGTACCAGTCAAGAAAATGCATATTTGCACACCAAGTCTCAATTATGGTTCTTCCTTAAGCACTAGAGTAAAATTGCATTAACTCTTTGTATTTCTTTTATCAAGCAAATCAGTACATTTTGGCCATTACTAAAAACTGAGTTGGCTTAGAATTACTGAAATATTTTACTTGTAATAAAATGATTTTGCTTTATTATTAAAATAGACACCACTAATTATAAATGACATCATTTTTTCCCTATTTCATCAATATATATTCAACCTTTAAAAAGAATGTAAATAGGGCCGGCCCGGTGGCACACTGGAGAGTGCTCCGCTTGGGAGTGTGGCAGCGCTCCCGCCGAGGGTTCGGATCCCATGTGGAGACTGGTTCCCGCTCACTGGATGAGCGCGGTGCGGGCACAACACCGAGGGTTGCGATCCCGTTGCCGGTCCCTGGTACGGGCGC